AAGCAGCACATTATTATGAAATGAAAAATGCCGGCCATACAGTTGATTAAAGTTGAAGACAGTGGAATCGGTGTTTTTTAAGATTGTGGGAGAATTAAAGGCATATTTTAATAGATGTTGACAAGAAGTGAACTAACAAAAGCAAAGCAAAGGATTTGCTTGAAAAGATTTAATCAAACGTCTTTCTTGGGGGATTAATTGCCGGGGATGACTAGTGCAAGTGGCAGGCTTGTGTGGATTTGAATGAAAAGTATTGTTCTCAGGCCAATATATTGTGTGTCATTTTGACCTATAGTTTAGCTCTAGTTCTAGAGTTACTTTTGAAGGAGAAAAAAACACATGCCCTTGTTATATGTACATTCTAGTTCAATATATTTATCTGGGGGTAATAGGGATGTGGCAGTTTATTATACATAAATAATTGTATGTTTGCATATTTTAAAAATAATGTTATAGATATTTAAAAACTGATAAGGTAAACTTTATTTTACTTTATATATTCACTCTTCCCATTCCACCTCCCCCCCTTACCAAAGTTTTACATATTGGGTTATAATCTAATGAATGGACTGTGCACCCATGTCCAAACTTATTCTCTGCCTACAATTTTGTTTTTGTTGGACAGCCTAGATGAATCAGGGGGAAAAAATAAAGCTGTTAGGTGAAAATGGTTTTTAGATTGGTGACATTTTCTATATAGAATGCTTGCATATGGGTAGCATGCAAATGAATACTTAATATCAGACTGTGAGTACTAGCTTAGCTCTAGTGCTGAGATCAGTACAAGCAGAGCTTAACAATTTTCACCATGTGAAATGATTTTTATGGTAATATTCTTTCCATCTTTATGACATTAAAACTTTAAAAAATACCTTAAAAAACATTTGTTATTTTTCTGTGAGCTAAACAGCAAAGGATTATCTGTGTTTTATTGATGAGAACATTGAGACTCAAAGAGATTACATTGGTCCACTCAGTCTATAAAATGACTAGTTAGTGATAGTGTCAGTTAGAATGTGGGGTTACTGACCTTTAGTAAAGCACTCTTTCTATTTTTATCTGTTTGGAAAATTATTCCTAAATTGGTGCCTAGATGCTTAAGTTGAATCTTGGTAATACGGTGAAGCATATGTTCTTCTTGCTCTCTTTTGGAAATTGACCATGTAAGGCAAAATAAACATGTATCTTTGACAGTCTCTATTTTTTGTTCTTATTGTTGTTTGTTTGTTTTGGTAACCACTTGCCAAGAAGGAGAGAGAAGAAAGTATATGCATCTTTGCTGCTTTTAAAAACTTAACTCTTAACAGTAATGGGTGAAAAATTAGAAGTGAATTAGGAACTGTTGATTCCATTCTCTTTATAATTTATAGGGTTGAACAAATAGAATTCAGCCCTATATGAGTGATAAAGAGCATTTGTATTGGTTTTGTCTGGGAAGAATTCACTGTTAGATTTGAGCCTCCCAGAGAGAGTCTTAACTCACTCTTATCAGTTGTGGCTTTGAGGAGGCCTACCACATCCAGCAGAGGATTGCTCCTTGTCTCCTCAGGTTTTACATAAAATCTTACTAGGAGGAAATGTGGCCCTAATATTGCAAAGAAATGAGGATTGGGTTCTTTCTTCTAAAACAGGAAGTTGTCCGTTGTCCATGTGTTGGCCACTAGTGACTTTACTTTGATAAACTTTTTTTTTTCTTTTTTTTTTTTTCTGGTGTGGTTAGAAGCACAGAATTGCAGATTTCATCTCTGGTAGGTCTCTTGACACTTTGATGCATGGTGGTGCTATCCCTGAATGGAGCTTAAATACTTCAGGGCTACTTTCTGACTGGGTGAAGGGGTGTATAAAATGAGAACATATGAGAGAGTATTAACAGAAAGGCACACTTTGATTTACTGATATTGGCTCTCTGCTTTCTTGTTGGATTGATAGGCTGTCTAATATATCTGCAGTGGATTTTTAAAAACTGACTTGAACAAAATAAAAGGGGTTGTATAGCTATTTGAGAGTGGCCCTTAAAGTACTAGGCTTTCATTGGATGTTTTCACAATTCTTGGTTATGTTACATGTTAGAGTCAAATTATGACTTGCTTGTTGGGGGCAAGCAGCTATAAACATTATGGACTGCTTGCAGCTTCTTCCCTGCATGGTTCTTCATTTCATATTTTAGAACATGACACATGGTACCTAGTTAAAGTAAGGAACAAACACTGGCCTTTCTGTTCTTTTAAATTTTTTATTGGGGCAAAAAAATGCATAATAACATTTACCTTACTAATCATTTCAATAGTGTTGGGTATATTCACGTTGCTATACAACCAGTTTTTAGAATCTTTCCACCTTGCAAAGCTAAAAATCTTTACACTTCATTAAAACAACAACTCACTATTTCCTTCTGCCCCAACCTCTGGAAACTACCCTTCAATTTTCTGTTTGTATGAATTACTATGTACCTTATATAAGTGGAATGATATAGTATTTGTTGTTTTGTGGCTGTCTTACTTCATTTAGCATAATGTCCTCAAGGTTCATCCATATTGTAGCATGTGTCAGAATTTCCTTATTTTTAAAGGCTGAATAATATTCCTTCCCCCCCTTCCCTCCCCGTTCTTTTTGACCGAATTCAAGATTGAGGGATTGTAGATTATTTTGTCTAGAATGGTAGAATTATTCATTATACTCTGGTCTTGGGATTTTTTTTTAAAGTGTTTATTTAATTGTGGTAAAATACATGACATAAAATTTACTATTTTAACTGTTTTTCATTGTACAGTTCAGTACCATATTGTACATTCATATTGATATGTAACTATCACCATTATCCATCTCTAGAACTTTTTCATAATCTCAAATTGAAACTGTATCCATAATTCCCCTTCCCCCTTCCCTTCAACCCCTGGCAAGCACCATTCTTCTTTCTATGAATGTGATTGTTTTAGGTACCTCATGTAAATGGAATCAACAGTGTATGCCCTTTTGCCACTGGCTTATTTCATTGAGCATAATATTTTCAAAGTTGAGTCTTGGGAATTTTAGAAACTAGTGTGCAAATGTAAAATTGATTTGTGGTTTCACTTTGGAAAACACGGGCCCTGCCTCTTTAAGATACAGACATTTTTAGAAAAGTTATAAAATAGTGATTAATACATGGAATTTGGATGAGATGACAATTGTTTGTTTTCATGGGCTTCCTTCCAAGTATAAGTGTCTTTTCTATTTTCTCAGTGTTCTTGCTACAATATATACTTCAGAACCTTAGCTACTTAGGATATCTCTTATTAGTTCTCGGGTCTTTTCACAGATGACCATTTGTGGTGATCTAATATTTGTAATTATCATTTGTATTCTTTGTTCTGCTCATTCCTTTTAAAATTTCCCATTTATATTTACATAATTTGTGTTCTACTTATACACTTAGCACATTTAGACTGACTGATTTTAGGCTTTAAAATTGCTACACCTTTGTTCTATTTTTCCTTCTGGCCTGTGTTATCATCTTGTTTATACTTAATCCATTTGTTCAAAGCCGACAGAAAGAAGAATAATGCTGTATTACTTTTTTTCTTTTTCATGAGTATAGTTGTCTCCATATTTGGTGAAAATTTTGTTTTGTTGTTTTTTAAGAGGCAGAGCAATAGATTTGGAATTTTGGTTTGGAACCCAAGGCATTTTGGATTTCTTGAGTAATATTATGTACTGTAGATGTTCCCAAGTGGTACAGATATACACTGATTATAAAAGGATTAGATACAGAATTTAGAAAAGCTGTGATCAAGGATCTTATTTTAAACAAGGAAGTATTTATGTAGTCTTATATGCAGAGTATTTGAAGGGATACAACATAGTTATTGAGTTATTGATTTCCTTCTGACCAATCTGAGAAGGCTATCTCACAAGGTTAGTTTGTTTAACTCAGGTCTTGGTGTACCATTGATGAAACAAGATGGTATGTAAATAGTATAATTCATGCTGGGCCAGGTAGAAGCAGAAATGATAGAACAAGACTTATAAAAATCACTTGAGCTGAAGTTAGTGTGGATTGTAAAACAAAAATGAATGTAGGGATTGTTAAGTGAAAGTAGGGTTACTTGTGAGAAGACTACAGTTATTATTATTTTTTTTTAAATATATTTTATTGATTTTTCTTACAGAGAGGAAGGGAGAGAGAGAGAGAGCTAGAAACATCGTCAATGAGAGAGAAACATCGACCAGCTGCCTCTTGCACACCCCCTACCGGGGATGTGCCTGCAACCAATGTATATGCCCTTGACAGGAATGGAACCTGGGTCCTTTCAGTCTGCAGACCCACGCTCTACCGCTGAGCCAAACCGGTTTCGGCGACTGCAGTTATTTAAGGGGGTAGGGAAAGGAGCGATAGAAGCGTGGCCAGAGATAACTATTACTGTGAAAAATATACAATTTTAATCAATTAAATGTATAGAATAAGGGCACCAAAATGTCAGTGATCTATGAAAACACATTAAACAGAGAAGAGAAAAATCAGACCAGGAACAAGTATTAGGAAGAAAAAGGTTCTGTTTCTGAAATGGTATATCTGAAGGAGTGATGAGTCATCCATGCGAAGATTTTCTTGGAGTTGCTGGAAATGTGTAAGCTTGAGCTTGGGAGAGATGTCTGAGTGCTATCAACACATAACTAGTGATGACCAGTGTCATTAGCCTCTAGAATAGGACTAGGCTGGTAAGAAGGTTAAGAGTTCAATTCTCAAAGGGCCAGTTTTTATTCTGAAAGTGCTTAGCCATAGACTATATACTGAATCCTGACGAACTTTTTTACAAATGCATGCTGTTGGCTATGAGGAGAGCCAGGTAAGAACATATTTTTGAAAAACAGAATTTGCAAAAGGAAATAATAACAATGCCTTCCTCCTCAGGTGGCTGTTCTTAGTCCCTGCATACCCTGTGCCTGCCCCCACTTTTACCCTGAGCAAGAGCTGCTCAGGAGCCATGATAATTATTCCTTCTCTGTGCTTTATTTCCCAGGTCACAAGGCACTTAAAGCATTGTTGAGGTCATTGGTAGGTCTTCAGGAAGAGCTGCTCTTCCAGTACCCCGACACTAGGTACCTAGTAGATGGGACGAAGCCCAAAGCAGAAAGGTAAGGAGGAATGCAGCTGTGAAGTTGCTTGTTTTCTTTTCATATGAATAGTGTCCCATCATTTATGAAAAAAGAAAGCTAAATCCTTTCCATGCAGATACCAGACTTAAATGTTAGTAAAATAGAGCCTCTTATATTTACCTGCCCTTTTGGCCAGGATAGCACAAAAATTGGGAATTAAATTTTGAATTTTTATACTTAATTGTGCCTCATTCTCTTTATGACTTCAGCAAAAGACTTGCCTTCCCTTTAGAGTTATTGAAATAGTAGATGAAAGCACATTTTAATGTCAATGCTTAATTAATGTTTATGAAGCACTTTGTGCCCATACCATGGAATCTCTGGTCACAACCATTTTCTTTTCACTGAGGGAAGGAGCAATTATTTTGAAGGGTGGAAAATTTCAGGAAACAGTAGAATAAACCTCTTTCTTTATTGAAATTATCCCATTCAGTGGAGCATCTCCCTGCCCCTTTGTTTGAGCCTGCTTACTGCTTTCCCTTTTGTTTATCCTTTGCTCCATTTTCTATGGAATTGGAGGGATAAGTAGTAAACTCACATTTATTGAGTACCTACTGTGTGTTCGGGTCTGTAATCCAGTGAATGCGATCGACTATATAATTGGAGGTTGTATTATTTTCTCATGGCAGTTGCGCACAATATTGGGGCTTAATGCTGGTCCTGTTGCCTACCCCTTTATGTTTTCTTCACATTCATCTTCTCCTCATCTGGCTTGTTAATATTATTCAGTTGTCCTGAACAATTGATTATAGGGAGGTGTTTGTTTTTATTGATTTGGGGATTAAGGTCATAAAAGTATGATAATATGTTTTAACTTTTAAAGATTCTTTTGTAACCAGTATAGGCTTGGTTCATATCCATTTCTAATAATGTTTTTGCAATCTCATGTAATTTTACGATTTGCTTACCTTTTAAGAAATATTTTGAATCAGTTATATTTATTTGAAAAGTTAAATGAGGTTTTGATTGACCTCATGAACATTCTTTTCAAACAAAATAAAATTCATCCTCACATCTGTGGTTCTATTTAATATGTAGACAAAATAGGGAAGGCCTAAATACTTTCAACTTCATGCAAGTCTAGCTTTTTATATGGGTAATGTTTATTTATATTGGACTATTATTCTTCCTGGTTTTCTAGTGAGGAGGAGATTTCAAGTGAAGATGAAGAGCTGGTAGGAGAGAAGAAGAAGCAGAAAAGGGCCCCACCAAAGAGGAAGCTGGAGATGGATGACTATCCTGGCTTTATGGCAAAGCGTTTTGCTGACTTCACAGTTTACAGGAACCGCACACTTCAGAAGTGGCATGATAAAACCAAACTGGCTTCTGGAAAACTGGGGAAGGCAAGTGTGTGTGTGTGTATGCGCGCGCACATGCACACGTGTGCTCACAAGTGTGAGTAACATGCTGTGGCAACATGAAGCAGTTCTAAAAAATTGGATCTACAGCTTGTTTGTATGGATGATGTCACTGTGGTAATCAGTCATTCTGTAGAAAAAAATTTACTGAATTCCTATCATTGGGGTTTATACCATTCAGACTTGTGATTTTAACTTTATTAAAAAGAATATTTTATTTCAGAAATTGTGGCCTTGTAAGTGTTCTAGTGTTGGAAATACAAATAAAGAAGTTGATGTTAAACAATTATTATTAAAAAAACAGATGTTAAACAAATATTATTAAAGGAGCAGAAGTTAAACTCTGGGTGTAGGAAAGTAATACAATCTATTAGCCACTTTTTTTTTCCTGAGAACAATTATAGCCATTCATAAACTCAGTCTTTAATAGAAAGTCTCTCTTGAAAGAAGGGTTGTCTATTTCTCTGCTGACACAGAAAGATAGAGAAACCAATGTAGCTGCCTTCAGCACAGACTTTCTGCATTATCTGACACTGGTTAATGTTGTTGCAGGGTTTTGGTGCCTTTGAACGCTCAATCTTGACGCAGATTGATCATATTCTAATGGACAAAGAAAGATTACTTCGAAGGACACAGACCAAGCGTTCTATTTACCAAGTTCTTGGCAAACCAGAGCCAGCACCGCAGCCTGTCCAGGAGAGTTTACCAGGGCAACCGGTAAGAACTCTGTGATGCATGCAGGATGATTATGGGGAGCAGTTTCTGTGAGGCTAATTAACCAAAAAATCTGATCACCTCCTTGTAGGTATTACTCTTGATATCAAAAATTAATGAAAGAAAGTGGGAAAAACACAACTAGATTGTTAAAGAAATGTATTTTTAAAAAATGGTTTTAAAATTTGGAGCTATTCTTAACATGTGTGTAGTCTTATCTTAATTTTGACGTTGATATGAGTCTGGCAATGGAAGCATTTGTAATCCAAATTTTAAAATTAATTTTAAAGCAATTTCTTTAGAAATGTCAGTATTGAAGCAAGTGTGTTCTTTAGGCTTTATATAGGATGTTTGGATACTCCAGAAAAGGATCCAAAATTGGATTAGTCAGATTCTTTTCTTGAAAGGAAACTTTTATTTATAGTAGAAATATATATTTAATACTTAGGTTCAGAAGAATTTTAAATGAAAAGTAAAATTCCCCCTAGTCTGAAAATTTTACTCCTCAGATTTAACCCAAGTTGTAACATGCTTTTGGGTTATTTTCCATTCATATATATTTTTTTTTTTTCTGCTGACCCAGGAAAATATGTACATAACAACATACATAAATATACATATATAAAATGTGGTTGCCTTTTCTTTTAAACTAAATTATATAAATACATAAAATGTTATAAAGTATTTATAAAATCATACAGTTTTAAAATTTAATATATCCCAGATATTTTCCCATATTATTACATAGAGATCTACCTCATTTTCTCTAATGGCTAGAGTATTCTGTTGTATGGATGTGTACTACAATTTATTCAAACAGTGGATATTTTGTTATCTCTAGTTTTAAAACAGTGTTATAGTAAACATTCCTGAGCATTTGTATTTTTGTATTTGTGTGATCATATGGATAGATTTCTTGAGTTGGAAATATTAAATAAAAGAGAACATGCATTTTAAACCCCTATGAATGCTGGGGTTTAAATTGCCTTCAAAAAAGGCTGTAATTTCCAATCCCATCAGCTGTGTTTTCCAGTGCTGAGTGTTGTCAGCTTTAGAGGTGAAAAAATGGTGTCTTTTCATTTAAATTTGCATACACACACACACACACACACACACACACACACACACACACACATATATATATGTAATTATAATGAAGTTAAACAGACTTTCAAATGATTTTTTTACTATTTGGGGTTCTTATTCTGTCAAGTTTCTGTTTATGTTTTTGCCCATTTTTCAATTGGACTGTTTTTGTTCTTTAATTTTAAGAGCTCTTTATATTTTAAGGAAAGCAGTGCTTTGAATGTTTATAGTACTACAATACTTAGATAACCTAATGGTATTCACCTTTTCTTTTTATTGATATAGGAGATCCTTCCTCAGGCTCCTGCCAATGCCCATCTGAAGGATTTGGATGAAGAAATCTTTGATGATGATGATTTTTACCACCAGGTATGATTTTTACACTCTTTTCTTTTGTTACAATTTAGGTTTTAGCATTTTAAAATAGCTGATAAACTTCTCGGATCAAAAGGTTTGGGGATAGAGTTACACAGGGAGTAAACTTCTGTGTTCAGAATTTACTTACTGTGTAGTTCTAGATCTGTTGCTTTTCTTTTGTCTTACATTTTTCTTTTTGAAATGAAAATAGCTACAGCTATTTTGTTAGTTGTTACAGATTGTGAGTTATCTGTAAAACGGTTTCAACTTTGAATCAGGTCTATTCTTTCTTAACTGATTTTGATAATGTTAAAATGGAGGGTTTTTGGTTAGTTATTTGGTTTTTGTCCTATCTATACTTCTATAATAATAATAAAAGGGTAATATGCTAATTAGACCAGACATCCTTCAGGATAAAGTGGGTGCCGGAGGGAAGCCAGTGCCGGCAGCTGGGGGAAGGTAGGCCTACTCTTGCACGAATTTTTGTACATCAGGCCTCTATTGACTATTATATTAGAATATGGAACTGAAGGGCTGGGATCTCAGAATTCTTTAATTGCACTTCTGGTTCTCTTACTTATTAAGTCTCTTGTCTTTAATTTATTTTTGTGCCTGTTCAAATCAGTTAAGATTGTATTGAGATTGCTACTGTTGATTATAATAATACTAGAGACTTGGTGCTTGATTTCATGCACAGGTGGGGTCCCTAGGCCTGGCCAGCTATCACGGCCGATTGGGGCCGTCTTGCCCAGTCCTGATCGGGGCCAGGCCAATTGGGGCCTGCTGCTGGCTGAGGGTGAGGGACAGGGGGAGGGAGGAATGGATAGATAGATAGATAGATAGATAGATAGATAGATAGATAGATAGATAGATAGATATAGATATATAGGTTGTAGTGTTTGCAGACAGAAAGAATTGGTAGAAGTTGAAATGTGGTTCTATTCTCAATATCTCTTCACAAACATCTCCCAATTCTTTCCCTCACATCATACCTCTTACCATGCTGCTCTTTTTAATGATGTTAGTGAATGTTGAGCTAGACATTTGAACTATTCTAAAGAACTAAGATAATTTCCTATACTCCCGGGTCTCTTGAGAAGTCATATTTCTTAATGAAATGTGCTTTAGGATGTATCCTTTCTAGTTCCAGAGAATTGAGGAGATTGCTCAGCAGTGATATATCAGTTTTTGTTGAATCATTATTTATCAAGATAATTTTTTTTCTCTGCTAAATTTTTAGTGTTTTAATTTTTGCAAAGATTTTGCAATTGTTTGTTGAAGGTTTAACTATGATGACTGTATTATATACATGGAATATGAAGGAAGGAACTTAGGAAAATTGCACTGTGAATCCAGTAGAACAAGTGATTCTTTATTGCAGATACCTCTGATTTTGTCCTAAAAAGAGAAAATTTCTATTAATCTTTCTATTAATTCTGTGTTGTTCAATAAAATTATTACCATAGTGAGTCTTAAAAGAAATGAGAGGAGAGAGGATTGGTGGAGTCTCAAGTGTTCCTAATCAGAGGTCCTGATTCTTTTTTCCTTTTCTTCTCTTATTATATTCATTTGTCAGAAGAGTAGGGAACTCTATTTTGTTCTATAATGTCAAAGGAAATACCTGATACAGGATATTAATGGATATAGTTGTGTGAGATCATGGGAGACAATCAAAAATGTTTCAGTCTTCATTAATTGAACTGCACATTAGTCAATGGAGAGTATATAATAAGTTAAATAGCCTTAATAAAATAAACTGAAATTATGGAAAGAATTGCTTCTACTGGCAATCCCTAGCCTGAAAGATTTTAAAAAATTATTTTTTGGCCTGGAGGTCTTTTTAAAGAGAAATAGCATTACTTGATTGGCCGTTCATCCCAATTAATAATTTTAACTTTGGTAAATTCTGATTTCAGAGTTATGACTAGTCACATCTTAGCTTTTCCCCTTGCTGGTTAATTGGGGTGCCGGGGTTAATCTAAATTAAAACTTAAACTAATAGAGGTCAGCAAGGCAGCTGAAACACCTGAGTGAAACAAATGGGACTGCCAGGCGCAACTTTATCTTGGCTGTTTCCCAAGAGGGAAGTGGCAGCAAATTGGAGTTGTTTCAGCCTTCTGTAAAGGTGAATGATGGGTGACACTTGTTAATGTACGGTATCTCCGGAAGCATTCCAGATTGCTTTGCTGCTGTACCAACTGCTGCCATCCATGCACAGTCAGTAGGAACTGGACCGGTTGCCAACATCTGGCAGCACAGCAAGGAATGGGTGCAAGTCTTGAAACCCCGCAGATTCTAAATATGGTGCTTAGAACTGTGCAGGCTTTAATCACTTACCACTGTTTGGCAGCAGGCTACGACAGCTTATCCTAGCCTCGTACATCACATCCCGACATCTGCTGAGCTTCAAGGCAGCTGCACATTCATTTTCTTTTCTTGCCTTTTCTTTTTGCCTCCTATTCCTCTCCTTTCCACTTTCCCCCTCCTCCCTTCAGTTTTCCTCCCCCTCCCCAATATGCTTCTTGGGAGAGATGATCTGTAAAGATTACTGCTTCATTGTGTACAAGTAATTGTGGTGATGCCAGGCCCTTGACAGACACAACGTAGCACCTGTTCTGCTGACCTGGTTAATTTCTTCTGTTGAGTGGGATTTGCCAGAGATTGGAGCTGAAGCCAATTCGATGATAAGGCTAAAGAAAATGGCTGTATGTTTTCTGTCACCTCCCAATTAAATTGGCTTCATAAAGTGCTTTCCTTTATTTGTCAGGGTAGTAAGCCTGAGCTAAGTGTTGTATTCAGAAGTGGTACAATGTATTACAATGGGCTTGTGAGTTTTCATTTGCGTGGGTTTTTTTTTTTTTTTTTTTTTTTTTTTTTTTTTTGTGGTCATATGGAAAAGCTGGGTAGTGAATATAATACATTTCACCTTCTTGTTTTTTTAAACCATACTTGAAGCCAGACTCTTTGTGTCCATGTTTTGTAAGGAAGAGATTATAGCCACATTGAATTTTAATGTTTCATTGTAGGGGTTTAAAGGCTTACTTGGTTAATTCAGGTGTCATGAGGCTTGTAAATGCCCTAACTACTGAGAACAATGTTTGGGGTCAGAACACCCAAAACACACACACTCACTCTCTCTCTTTGTTTCATAATGGGTCTTAAATTACTAAACCTTAAAATATGTCTGTGTTACTTAATAAAGGTACAAACATATATATATATCTGAAGAGTATCAGTATTTCAATTATATCATTTTTGAGGTGAAAAGAACCTTATAAGAAACTGATTCCCGAAAAATTAAGTAACTTCATATAAACTTATACAGTAAATGGCAACTCTAGTACTTGATCTCAAGACTTCTTGGATCATTTTCTGTTCTTTCCATACCTTTATTTCTTAAATATTTCATCCTCAAGTCATAAAAAGACTTCACTATAGTGTTACTTTTCAGTGTGTGAATAAATAAGCTTCATTTCCTTAGACCTGGAAGAAATTTTATGTGTGTTAGAAAGTAATGTCTTTTCCTTAAAACGTAAATGATTTCTCAAACTCTTATTTCTTAATAATTCTAATAAAAAAAATTAGCTTTATAGTTGTGTTACTGGGTTTTTTTGGAACCTGATTGCTGAGAGCTTGAAGTATACCCGGTAGTGAAGCTTTTATCAGGGAAACTGTTCATCTGCTACAAGCAGTGCTGTTACTCTCAAGTGGGGTTAGTTTGCATTTAGCCTGTTTCTTGTCAAAGCTCATCCCAAAAGATGATTTCACAAAATGTGAAGGTTGTATATGGCCATAAACGATGAGCCATTCAGAAATACTTTGAACATCTGTTTTTCATTTTCATGAACTTATTTGCTTTAAAAACATTAACTTTTTAAAGGATGTGTTGTCTAGATGACCATTTAAGTTTTTTCTTTATGTTATTTTTTTAAGCATCAGTTGATCTTTGACTTGATCAGCCTGATTTGAGTTCTTAAAGAATTAAGGAAGGGCTAATGTTTACTGAACACTAGTTGTGTGCCAGCTCCTGGACTAATTACATAGATACTTGGCCTACATCTTTATTTAATCCTCACAAGATTTCCATATTGAGAAATGACTATATTTAGCTGTAACCTATGGAAAGTGACTGGTTTTATTCTTCTCAGAGCCAAGACTTCAAACTAGTTTCTTGTCACCTCATGAGGTATTTTGTTCTGAAAGGCCTAATTGAGCTTAGATAGTGACAGATCGATACCGGGATTTCTAAGAGTTCATTAGGGTTTTGTATGTTGCTTCTAGCTGTGTTTAGTTTTGATCTGGTTTGTCCTGTCACTTTGAATTTAACCAGGAGTGTCTGGAGAAAGGCATAATAGATTTTGTGCTTTTGATGACCACTTTGATGGGTTAAGTTTCTCCCTTTATTTGCCATCAGGACATGTCTATAACTGACCTTGCCACACATTGGATTTTCGTATTCAGGACATTTGATAATACCATAAAGAAGTAATTACTGATTCGGTGAACAATTAAAAGTTGATAATGTTAAGAAAAAGAGAAGAGGTAAGCTTTCTGAGAAGATGGTTTACTTTAATTAGATTGGTGAGTGATTAATATGGACAGTTGATGTGGTTGGTGGCTTTAATTGTATGCATTTAGATCTTAGTGTTTGAAGCCATTTCTCTGGTGAATGCTAATACAATGGGACATTCTTATTTTTGGCATGTATCTTGCCAGTGGTTCAGTTGATGGTTAATAATATGTTTTCTCTTTTATCTGAACCTGCTCCTTTTAATTAGTTGTTTAAAAACAGATACCTGTGTTCAGGATAGTATTTAATTTTAAGTTTTACTTTAAAATGTTTCTATTATTTGAAATGTGTTTCTTAAAAGTTTGGTAAAACTTATAACACATAGGCCTTTATGGCGATTTTAGAGAAGACATTCAAATGAAGTACATAAATTAGAAAATTGCAATTTTGGTTAAAGATATAGCAGAGAATCAGTCAAGTTTCTTGAGGTATAGTAAAGGTG